CTGTTAGACAGAGAGAAGGAGTACCCAAAACTATTACTCTCTCTCTCACCGTTATCTACACTTTTTAACTAGGCGTGCTTCCTCCATGTAGTATATGCTCTAAAGATTCGAACGACGAGGACGAACATCGTCGTGTCACTTCTCCAAATATCCGATTTGGAAATTCTCGAGAGCTCGTACGGAACGCATAAAATATATATATACATGTACGCTGTGGTGCATCGGGAAACGATATGGTATAAATTATGGATGATAATTGAAGGATAGATGGGAACCCGTCCGGTTCTTGGAAAGAAATCAGCAAAGCAGAAATCGTATATCGTACCAACCGGCATGGCAGCGTGTACGTTCGAAGCTTAATGGCTCTTTCTTTGAATAATGTGTTGAAACGTTCCGCGATTTCACGACTCATTCCACCCTTCCTTGAAACAGAGAAAAGCTTTTTACGTCTCGAGGACTCTCAAATTTTGAAATATTTTCAACACACGTGCGGCTGCAGATAAAACTGCTGTTACAGCTTGTAAAAACCGCGTCTCTCTCTTTCTCGAGAAAACGAATTAGCGAAAGTAGTTTTAATTTATGAAGTTCCATTAGCCACGTTAAATCTCTTTAACGAATTACGTACGTACGAATATAATAATTGTGATATGAAATTCATTCGCGGTATGAATTTCAATCTGATTCGGCATCAGAATTCGTGTGCTCACCATTGAAATTCATCTGGATACAGATCGAACACGAAATTATACGGGCTGACTCCGCAGGAATATCGTAACAATTATATTCATACTCGTTCTATTGAAACGTAAACATTCGCCGAAACGTACGAACGCATTAATCAGCTGCGTCAAATAGAAAATTCACTTCTGAAAAATCAGTTATGTGGTACGTCTGTTCTCATTGATTCGACGACCTGTACCCGAGGCAATCGATCGGGTGGACAAATGCTGAATCGAAGCTTGATCCGGTTATGCATAAAGCGATCGAAGCCGGGGCGTTGACCCATGCATGGAAAAAAGACGACGTGCCCTGTCGAAACTGGAGCCTCAAAAGATTCCCTCGGATCAGCGTTTTCGATCGGCGCTCGCTTTTTCCACGTTCCTCCTTTCTCTTGGGAATTTCCTAACTTCACCGCTGTCCTACAAATTTCCGAGCCGCTTCATCATCGTTGCCCATCAGTCACCAAGAAAAGAACGGTTCGCGTGACCGGGGCAGAGGTTTGCAAAAAATACGAGAGTAGAGCAAATAGCAGAGGGCCGACGGGAAACGGGTAACACCGAAAGGGAGAGAGAATACGAAGGCGAAAGCCGTAAAAACCGGGTGATTATAGTAACGAACGATTAAGCAGTGCATGGAACGCGGATTGAATGGCCACAGCCGATGATTTATTAGCGCTCGTGTATCGCCATTCAGCCAATGGTTAATGATTCGAATCTCCTGTTGGTCGCGTCGAGGAGAATATCGGATTGATGAAAATGGTAATTACCTATCATTGTGCCATTCACCCTGTGCCTGAAATTCCGCGCGAAGATCTCTGAACCAATTCTATCACTGTCCGACACGTCGATGGAGTAATTATATGAATCGATTCCATTGATTTAAGGAACTAGGATTGAAATGATCAAACGAGATACGACGAGGATCGTTCCGTGTCAAGATTCGGTAAAGTGCAATTGCAATCGTCCTAGGCATTAAGCAATGTCGCGGGACTCGAAAGAATATCAAAGGAAAAAGGAGTGCGCGACAATGCCCGGTGAATATATACTGGTGGCAGCAACCCTTTCAATACGTTCGAAGGACGATAAGATGCAGTAGGTGTGACACATTAATCAGCGGCAGCATCGACCGAGGCTCGCCTCGCGTCGAAGGCGGAGACGAACCAACCCGAGGAAGGAATCCATCCCCTTTTCTCCGTTGAATTTCAAGGGGATGGCCGCTCCTCTCCGTCCCGTTATTGCTTTTTCTTAGAAACCGCAAGGGCATTGTGCAGCCATTAAAACCTGAGACCGACCAGCCGCCCCCGCGCTTCGTTCACGGTGTACTTTTCTTAATTGTTAAAACAGCTGACCTGTTCCCTTCGATCATCGTTCCGTCTCGACGATGCTGAAAAACGCGGAACAGAAGGCTGGACAGTTTCCAAGCAAATATTGGATCACATAAATAAATCAGAAGACTAAACGGAAATCTAGTTCGAGTGGATTCAACCCGGGAAAACGAGAAATCGTTCGGTCCTTATTGAATTTTCGGCGTAACACGCTGTACAATTTCAATCCTGTTGCAATTTCGTCGAATTAGCGGTGTACGTGAAACGCGGAGGCTTTAATTCACCCGCAGCCGGCTAATATGATTTCCGGGTTGGAAGACAAATAGCGAGCGAGATAGAAGAGGCGGCGTTGGTGTTTTCAAGGTAAAACGTGGAAAGGCGAGTTCCGTGCCGATAAATGGCTCCAAGTCGAGTCAAAGGAGGTCTGGTCCAATTCAAATCGCAGTTTGTCCCTTGCCCGGCTGCTGAGGCCAGCCATCGGCTGAATGGATCTACATTATGAATGGCCTCGTGAGATTTACATTCTGTCGTTCCACCGCAGCCACTGCCGGTTATATATGTTACGGCAATTTGCCCCGTCTAGGGTTTCGATCATAAAAAATTGTAATACGTCCGAGGGTATAATAAATTTCGAACTGCATCGGCACACACCATGTCTCGCTTAAATGTGTGTGAAAAGTCCGATCTTTGATCGAGTACGAATCTCCGTACGAGTGTACCGAAATTGAAAACGAATTCGTGTTAAAACTGCAATTAGTTTGCAGCGCGCTTATTAAAATTTTAATGAAAGACTTGCCGGGGCTGCTTGTTAATTCACGCGTTTCGGTAATCAGGCAGGTTTAAACGAGATAAAGATAATGAGACAAATAATGACTGGCCCACGATCGCCCAAAGTAAAGACGTGCTTTTATTAACATCGGGCTCGTCCCTTTTCGTAATGTTCCAGTATATGCGTGACGGTGGTCGTACTCAACGTCCACTTCCGATCTCCGCAAACTCATAAAATGGCTCCTTGGGTAAAGAGAGTTTTCATCCACATCCTCCCACGCCTGCTGGTCATGCGAAGGCCTCAGTACAAATTCGAGACAAATAGGTAAATATCGTGAAACTGAGAATCAAACTATTTCCTAATAAAAAGTACAGAATGATCTTTCAATAAATTCGTGCATCTGATAAAGTCAGCGAACTTTCACAGATCATGATGTGAACTTCACGTGTGCCCACAGGTATAGCTCGGGCAGGGTATTAATGAGAACGGTCAGAGGGAAGGAGAAGACTTGTTATTATCCCTATCATCCATCCACTCAAGAGGACAGCGAGGAACACCTAACGCCTAAACGCTTCCACAGCCGCGCCGCATCGAAGGAAGACCTTTCACCCTCCAGGTATCGTAAAAGCCCTCGGTCCTAATTAAAAATGCCGGCTGTTCACTTTTTCCATTAACCGACTTTCTGACCAAACGCTCCGAACTTTTCAAAAGCTTCTCCATTTCACAGTTGGACAATCCCATCACAATGCGCATTTTTTTATACTTTACATGCGTGCATTTTTTTCTATTTCAAAATGCTTTGTTCTGTTTTTTCGACCCGTACGCAAAACTCGTATCAACCGACGACGACTTCCTACGATTTATTCAATCCTAAACGTAATTGATACGATGATGCATGTATACAAGACGTAAATAACAAGATTACGAGTCGAGTCGAAAGTCCGGCTCGAAGTTGGAATACCATAAACGAACTTTGACTAGGTAGCAAGGGATTTATAACAGAGTTCATCAAGTTCGGCAGCGTGAAGTGAAACGTGTAATTATTATCGAGCTTATTTGTCCTCCGCGAACATCATGAAACACGTTCGATAATTTTCAAAACGCGTTCTCATCGATACAATATATCGTATAAACGCTCGAGGAGTAAAAAGTATTTAATTTTTGACCCGGCATCCCCTAATTCCCGCAGCTCGAGCAACCCTCGGGCCGAGGTCGGTCCGAGGCGTGGGGGGGAGAGGGGGGGGTGGCTGTGTGTATTCACTCGGGCGTTCGGTCCGAATGAACACCGAGCGAGCGCCGCCGTTTTATCCAGGTGCAGGGGCAAGCGCGATCGATCACGTTCACTTTGATGTCGGCGCTCGTTCACCGTTCACTCGGACCGAATACTCGAGTGAATACTTACACGTCCCTAAGACAAACAGAGCGAATAAGAGTGGACGATACAAAGCCGGGACAACGTTCAAAGCTGACGAACGACGGTCATCTTTGACTGAAAAAAGAAATGTACACGTGGATAATACTGTACGTTCGAAATTCTGTTTATGAAAAACGAATAAAAATCATCGCCATCCGAGTGTATAATTATGATTTAATCTCGTTCGTTTTATCGCGATATCTCGATGAGTTTCGGGTAATGAAAATTTGCATTAATCCCCGTTTCATGTAATTCGCGTTTCGATTCGTTCGTATTAACCGACAATTTTGCGAAATTACTTCCGGCCCGAAGCACTGCCTTTTGCTCGAACACCGTAAGAAAATTGGAATGCAGAAACGCATTCTCCTCTGTTGGCAATTTAGTCTCGCTGACGGAGCGAGGTTCGGCGGAAGTTGCCTGATCCACGGCCCGCCTCTGCCACCGCTTCCTCTTCACACGGAATGCGAGGACCTCTCGGTTTCCGGGGAGCCGGTGATCGAAGACGTTAAAAGCCCGGTGCTGCGGAGCCCGCCGCCGTTCTCCCATTCACGATGTCCACCCGAGATCCACAAATCCTGCATCTGCGTGCGCTTCATCGCGGAGCACACCAAAATGCTCGAGGACTCGACCAAGGTAATTCCCTCTTCATTTATTATTTATACTCTCCGCGTCGATTCATCAAAAAAAGAATCGAGCTCGTAAACGTATTTTCTAAATTTCATTAAAAAGATAAGTAGAATAAAATAAGATAAAATGTAAGAACGCGCATAAAACGTTATGCGACGAGACTCTGGGAGGAGAATTGGAATCGGGAGAGAGTCGTCCGGATAGGAGATTAATCGTTGCAGCGAATATACTTTGGAAGCTAACGCGATTTGTGAAACGGAAGGTGAAAGAGGACTGGAAGTACGTGGCGATGGTGCTGGACAGACTGTTCCTATGGATCTTCACTCTGGCAGTGCTGGTGGGCACGGCTGGGATCATCTTGCAGGCACCGACGCTGTACGACGATCGCGTACCGATCGACAAACAGTTCAGCGAGTTCGCCACCACGACGGTGGTGAACTGTCCGCCGCAACAATAGTCCATGCCCGAGCCCTGCACCGTGGAGAAAGACTAAGGGCCAACGGCACCCGGAAGTACGTAAATCGTTACTCGACCCGGATATCCCAATCCCAGTCTTTTAAACGACTTCCAACTTCCGCCTTTGTCCCGACTCCAAACGAAATCACGGTAAATGGGCTCCGATTCTTCCCAAGTATACGACGCGACACGTAAGTATACAAGCTTGACTCGATCGAACAACAGTTTCGACGATACGTTCGAACGAACTGATCAACATCGGGTGTGGTGTATCGTCGGAGACGAAAGATACAGAATATTTTTATCCAGTGAGGATTCGTTGAGATCCTTTAACGACGTCGACGGTGCGAACGTCTCGATTCGAACGTTCCAACAGCCACGTTCGAGCGTCGGTAAAGGTAAAACGTCGCGAGAACAATTTTGACGAAGAGAACTTATACCTACATAGTCTGCTCAAATAAATCGTAATATGAAGCTGCCACTACTTAAAGAAATCAGGTTAAATCTTAAAGGAGAACAAGCTAATTAACGAGTACTGTAATGATAACTTAGCCTGCACGGGTACCGTGGCTCCGATCAAACTACCGGGATCGAGGGACTCGGTCACGAGTCACGAGACCCTCGACGTTACGTTTATAAAAGGAACGTTCGCGGAGTAAAAATTGTTGCGTGTTTTATACATAACGTAATGAACATCCCGTTTAGCCGACACAACGTTAAGAGGAAAATTATTCTAGGCATCACCGATCGTAGATAGCTCGTTGTGCGACACGAATTTAGCGTGTAAACTTAACGTATAATCGATTATGTTTTAAATATTTAGGGAAACGTACCCCGTTTGTACGAATTGTAATATCTATGTAAGAGAGGGAGGATCGAGCGGTTCGAATCTATCGTGCATCGAAATGTCCCATGGAATTCCCATCGCAGAATCACGCACCGATTTCTATTTGATAAAACGTTTCATACGATTCTACCGGGAATGTTAAAAGAATTAAGTCGCGCGTTCGTCGCCGAGATGTTTATTCGAAAACAGTGAAAATTCAATTTGGAGACGAATAATTTCAGATCGTCCATTGATCATTCGAGTCGTAACGAGTCCCGCGAGACATTTGGCTGCACGCGCGTTACACGTACTTCGCCTCTGTAAAAAAATATATTGTATTTTGTAACGAGAGTCGAAACACACGCGATAATGATAACCGATAGTTCTGTAAGAACAAGTAAAGCATACGAATTCTAAAGCTGATAGATGTAGCTGAATTGAACAACCGTCGAACGTCGTTGTTCAATGCCATAGTAGGTACCTACATACGTGGTCGATGTTGATATCACTGTGAATCGTTTTATTTCTACCCTTCTCTCCTTCCGTTCCTTCTTTTTATTTATTGATTTCCTGTGTAATTACGCGCCCATGTATAAACACGTACTCTATTCGCGGTTGAATAAAAAAAGATCGTCGGTTCACCCCTCGCGCGAGGGGACCGGGAATCGTGAAACGTCGGAGAATCCGCGACTTTAACGAGCGAACAATTCTCAACGACGAGTCCTAATTTCCATATACTTTTTCAACCGAATCTTAAACTTCTCTTATTCGATTAACGAGAGTCTCTGATTCTTCGACGTTCGTTAGACGTATTCATAGTTGAGAGTAACACGATAGTTGTAACGCATCCAAGGTACGACGCCTTACGTTGGAGTGTAAATATGTAGGGTGAACAACAATTTATTGGTTCCGTAAATACTGCCATTAGAAAGCGTTGTTAGCGTGAGAGACGTTTTTCGAGACATCGGCGAACCTCCGCGATTCTCCATCGATCGGTGATCAAATACGTGCCAGTGAATTTCTATAAAATTGAGATTTTGTTCCACTTTGAGATCTCGAATGAGTCGACGAGCGACGCCTGGATAACGAATTAACGAGAGAGGATGGTCGCCGATCGATTGGGAATCGAGGCCAAAGCGTCGAAAAGAGAGAAGTGAAAAAACGTATTTGCTACCTGATTGATAAATCGTCCAGTGAACGCCGAACGCAAGAAACGAGGAACGGGAGTCGACGTCGATGACTGCCGCGTGAGCCACGATATCCTCCTTTAGCGGAACGAACGAGACTATAAGAAGTTTTACTTTGCACTAGAACGGTAGGGAAGAACGCACACATTTTCTATGAATAGGGCCAGAGTTAAAGTTACGTGTTAAAAATCATAATTACGCAATTAGTGTATCGAACGCAGCCCGTGTCGGATCGTCAGCTTGTATGATCCCACCTGTTCCCAATAAGAATACACGGCGAACCTTCGAGTCTCACTTCGACAATAGTGCGAGGGCTGATCGATGATCATCGTCCGAGATCGAACGTTTTTTAGGATAATCATCGAGTCCCACCCTCGTAGATTATTTCGACTATTGTTACTCCGACACCTTGAACGGTCGTTGAACCCGTCGCTGTGTCTGTCTGCTGTTGTCCAAAATGGAAGAGCGAAGGGGACACGAATGAAACAAATACGTGGTAATCTAGTCAGGAATTAGCGAGAACATAGAAACGATACTTGTAATCTTAAGATGTACATAAATATGTAAATACTTAAACGTAAAATCGCGAGTCAGAGGCTATAATAAAAGGCGATTGTGGACTTTTTTTACTATTGCAAGAGAGACTGGGATCACGCATTTCTCACAGTGGAATCCCACGACGCATTGTTTAAAAGAAACCAAAAGATATATATTATATATAAATATATATAAAAATAATTGTCGATGCTAGTCGAGATTTTACGGACTAAACGTCGTTCGGTTTATCAATGACAACGAACAGGTAATTTTAATTTTCTTCCGTCGTTCTTTATTCTTGCGAGTTTTATTTAACTTCGGTGACGAATATTCTTATTAATCGATTCTCGCGTACGATCGTCTGCGTTCGTGTGCTCGTTTAAACCGATAACGTTAAGTTGTTTCACACGAGAATCTGTCGACCTTGAACAAGCAGGAAACACGTCGAAACTAAAAACGTGTAACGGGTAAATTTAATCGCGAAAACTCGCGTACTTTGATTCATAATTTACTCTCTTTCGTTGAACAAATGATTCGTTCTATTATGATAAACGGATCTCGTCTGACTATGCAAAAGATCTAGAGATTAAAATCGCGGCGCAGCTAGAGGCGATAACTCGCCGATAAATGGCCTTTGCATGGAACTATTGTATTTAGTGTTCTTCCAGCAGCGAATGGGAGACAAGATTTTGTCGAAGAGAGAGAGAAAATTTGTATGCGTTCATCGATAACGCAATTTATACCTACGGGATTTAAACAAAGTGTCTCGCGCAGGTATTTGAATAAAACTTAACGCCTGAACGGTGATCGCTATGCGGGTGTTAACGCGAACCGTGAAACTTCTTCGATCTCGTTTTACGTTCGTTCGGAAAAATTCAATTTTAGAGTACATCTTTGAACAACGCCGAGAGAGAGAGAGAGAGAGAGAGAGAGAGAGAGAGAGAGAGAGAGAGAGAGAGAGAGAGAGAGAGAGAGAGAGAGAGAGAGTGAGTCCGTTCGACGGAGGGAAACACGATTTTATGCAAAATCTCTTTTGCCTTTTAATTCTTCTTATCGCTGAAGTATTACAGTTTTTCTATAAACATTTTTCTACTTATTGTAGCTATCGAATTCGAAAACTTCGGCGACGACAAAAGAACGATAGATCGATGCTTCGCTACAGACGTACTTAAGCTATTTTAAAAGAGAACTGGAAAGAGTAAACAAATTTGCAAGTACTGATCGGTGACGTTCTACTCGATCGAAAGAAACGTATTGCGCGAAATGCCGAGGAATTTAAGTAGACCAATCGAAGCTCGTTAAATTATAATAAGAATCATCGGCGGAAAGATACATACATTTAAGAACAGGCAAAAGATATTGAGGCGCACCGCGTTTCAAGTCGAAACGAAATCGTCTCGTTATTGCCATCGGAGATTTCACTGTTTAACGTGCATTCCATCATTCACAACCTTCCACCTCGTATCTTTACTGTGCCAAGTGAACGCGCGACAAGCCTAAATCGCATGATGACAATAACCGTCGAAGAGCAACCGAACGATCGCTCGGTGTCATTGTAAAATCTGCTCTTTCCAACTGTCCTCATCGACTCGCTGAAATTTTAGATATGTAGAATCATTTCGGACTCTGAAAACGATCTTCGTGAGGTCATGGAATAAAAGTGAGAACGTTTAGAATACAGGAGGAGCAAGTGATCGCTTTCAGAGCCGTGTTTGTCCGTTCGTCACTTCATCGCTAGTTGATTAATTGTGATCATTTTTGACGGACACCCGCGTCCCGATCTTCGACCACTCGACACGTTTTAAACGCGTAAACTCGACGAGAGCGTAGCTTAAAAAAAAAAATACTCCGTTATTCAGAGACGTTAGTGTACGTAGGCTAATCGTAAGGACGAGTAAGGATATGGTTATCATTAATAACGATAATTATACATAGCAAACGAACGTACTGTATAGCAATATAGTGCTGTTTAAGACGAGAGTAAAATGGACACGCATACAAAACTCAGATCCGCACACGAGCAGAGAACGATAAGAGAAAGAAATTATCGAGTACCGATTACTATATCGTTAGATACATAAACTACTATGTATATCGTTTGTTAAATATGTACCTACGAATTATTGACGACGTCGTTCTAAGACTAAACGATATAAGGACGAGATTCTTGTTGCTTGGTTTTGTAATCATGCTTGATAAAAGCATTCGAAGAATAAAACTTGTTGTCGTAGACATCGTACCTGTCTTTCGTCCCCCTTGTCCCCCGGTGCGTGGGTAGACACAGTTAAACAAGATCGTAATACGGTTTTAATTGAAACCTTTAATTAAAAAAGAAAAAAATACTTTTCGAGTATTGGTAGTAACGATAATTGGCAAGAAACAACAGGTAAACGTATTATTCAGACGGAAGAATATTTCAAAGGGACAGAATTTAACAGCAGCGATATCATGTGTAGCATATTCATAATAAATTATAAATTAGTGTATAACAGCATATTTCTGATTTCAAATAAAACTCTGAATAGGCACACCTCAGACTTGGCTACGTATGTACATATTATTATTATTATTATTATTATTATTATTATTATTATTATTATTATTATTATTATTATTATTATGCGAAACGACGAGTGGAAAGGGCTGTTTGTTTAAGGGATAACGAGAGATGTTAAGATTCGTCGCGTCGAGTACGCGACAATGATCCTGCGCGAGGCTCAAGCGTTACGGAAATCGAGCTTCGTCGCAAGTTTCGAAACGGCTGTTTGCCCTTCCACTTTCCCTCAGCTACAGCCGAACGTTCCTACGCTTTTACTTTAAGTATGTTCTCGATCTGAGCCAGGGAATTCTTCAACCACGTCGTCACGAAATTTCCGTTGGCTTCTACGAGAGCCGCGGCGTACCTCGTCCCCTTCATACTGTCATAATTGTTTTCCCTGAATATTAGAAGCTGCAACAGAGATGAATCGCATTTAACATGTTCAAGAGACGAGGACAGATTCTAGTCGACAGAATTGCTTACGTCCTCCATGTCCTGCTCGGTGGTTAAACCGTTGACCATCGACAGGACGAAAGACTTCAGTATCGGGTAGGATCCCGCGAACCTGGGTAAAACATTTTCATTTCATTTTATGTAACTAAGCTCCTTCGAGGATGAACCAGCTCTTTGAAGATGAATTTCTTTTTACAAAAGAATTTCGACTACCTCTGCGCAATTTCCGGCCAATTTGCTCGGACGAATCGGGACGCGACTTGAGCGGCAGCTGGATTTCGTGGGAACGATTTTAAAATTACTGGTATTTCGTCCTCCTTGAATCTACCTTGAAGTATTTCGCTGAGAATCCTGTTTTCAGAGCAAACAGAAAACAGCGTAACGTAAAAGAGTCGGAATTAAACAATTTCCGGATGTTTGAAAATAAATGAATCGCATGGGAAGGTGGATTTGACCGAGTGAAGATAAATTGGACTGTCCTTGAGCCAATATGATCCTGTATACGATACATTATCCGAACGAGAACAAATTCAAAATACGATGAAGTCCCCTTTATCGCGATAATGGACGTTCGGGCGAGCACAATAAATGTTCGAAAATGCTTTCGAAAACAAAATGAAATATTCCCTCGGCTCCATTTCGCGCGCCTCTCTGCCGCTTTTTAAAGTGCGAAGAGCGTAAGCTCAGAATTATAAAATGGATTCGTGAACACAAAAGAGTCTGACTCGAAACGATATCGAAACAATCGCGTTATCGGTGAACCGAGTAGTAGTAAACACCTACGATTGTAAGACCCAAGGAGCTTGGAAACAGGCGGCCGACGATAACAGACGTTTCCTCTCCTCCTCGTCTTCGGTCGAGCGTATCTTCTCCGTGAAGTAATTCCATTCTTTCCGCGTTCCGTAACGAGCTATAGTGCAATAAAACGTTTCGCGGACGTATGAAGGGACCCTGCAACAATCCAATTCTCCCGGCAACCTGGTATTGACCCGGATAAAGGGGATGGCCATCGTCGGTTTTAATTAAACTCACGATTTTTCAATCTCCTCGTCGTCGGTCGAGTTCTGAAAAATATTCTTCGCCCAATCTAGACACTCCGCGTGCTCGAACACGCACGCCAGCTCTATCGCGACCATCGTCAACTCGGATCCTTCTTCCAGTTTATACCCGGTCTCGTTGTACAACGGGGACACAAACTTCACTATGTACTCCTGAAACGAATCGGTGAAACATATCAACGGGCGTCGTCTCGACGTATTAAGGATGTATTGGCTATACAGTCAATACCTAAAGTTCATGTACCTTAGAAAAACGCATTTCCTATAATTAAAAATAGTGCACTATTCTTCTAATTTCGATATTTAATGAGTTAAGTATGATTATTTGGCATTTTATTGATGTTGACAAAATCCGACCATTCCAGCGTCGAAACGGCGAACTTTTGGAAAAAAATTTCGTTTTTCCTCAATAACTCCTAAACTCTTGGAGATACGAGAAAATTGTATAGGACCTTTCTTGTAGAGGACGACGAGATCTACAATTTCCGTATAAAAAGTTTTCGCTAGTATTAATAGTTTACGAGTTATTTGCAAAAAACGAAAAAACAGATTTTTGCAAATTACTCGTAAACTATTGGCTCTAGAGAAAAATTTTTACATGGAAATTGTAGATCTCGCCGTCCTCTACAAGAAAGGTCTTATGCAATTTTCCCGTAAATCCATCCGTTTGGAAGATATTGGCAAAAAACGAAAATTTCGCAGAATCTGAAGGGGTACCCC